CGCGGGCGCCGCCCCGCCGTGAGGTGGGAGAGCTCGGCGGGCTCCGCGCCTCGTGGGCCCTCAGCAGTCAATAACGGGGTCGTCTGTGGTTGTGGGTCCGGCCTGCTGCCTTAGGGGGCCTTCCGAGAGGCCTGCTGCAGGGCTCGGGCAGCGGCACTGGGCTGGGTGATGCAGGCAGGCTGTGGGTTACAGGAACATCCCCGGGGAACCAGCTCTGAGTTGAGGCCGCTTGTGCGAGATGCTGCCCAAACGCAGCAAGCGAGCCTGCCATCTGAATGTGAGAGGAGTTGATAAGGGTGAAATGGCCAGGCGGGGAGCGGTAACGGGCGGTGGGGTTGTGACTGGTACGCAGTGCAAGGTTTCTAGCACACCGGTTACCTTCGCCGTTGTCAGTGCCCACCCTGGGTGTAAACCATTCCGAGCGAGAGGTATGTGGTGCTCTTTGGTTACCTCAGGCTTTCTGCACGAAGTGGTGCGGTCTGCAGGCTATGTGGGTTATGGTGCTCATGTAAAAATCATGTGATTCCTGCAGTCAACTTTTCTTTCCTTCCTTAGGCTAAAAAATGTAAAATTGCATAGAACTGCTACTGCATTTTAACACTTCCCGAGTGTTTCGGAGAGCGCTAGTTCAGGTAGCATGGACCAAGTTTACCTGGAGGGATTCCTGTTATAATCACCGATGCGCAGACCATCTCGCCTTCCGTTAGCACTTACCGTGACGTTTTTCTTCTGCCTTCAAGCATCTTGTGTAACGCATGTGTCCTTGGCAACTACGATGGTTGCTGATTGTATTCACTGCGCTTCTAGTGGCAAGAAGTGACCAGCCAGCATCTCCTTGGGGACTTGTTGTCTGTGAGCTATTTTGTTGGATGATTCTTAAGAACTGCAAAGATAAATGGAGAGGGACGGGATAAAGTAGCGTAGATAAGAAAACTATGTGCCCAGTGTTTCTTAGGCAGTTGAAAAGCATTTTCTGGCTTTATTCTTATCAGCTTTAGTGCAAACAAAACACATTGGTGTGCTGGCCTTTCCACATGTTGTCTTCTGTTCACAGAATAAATGCCTCCCAAGCATCTTTCCATTTTTCTGGTCATGTATCCCAGTGTTGCGTGGAAACATATGCTTACTCTCAGGGACACAACTCATAAGTCATAGGTGGTCCCAAAGCTGTCTGGTGTGGTCTGCAAGAACCCACTGAATACTCAAACTATCGTTTCACACAGTTTATGCAAAATCTCATCAGCTAATTAATGATTATTATTATTTGGTTATGGGACAGTTCTTTCTTGTTCCTTGGATGTGAATTCTGCTCAAGAGAGGTGAGGCCATCATCCCTGTTCTAGGCAAATCAGACTGCAGCATAGGCGGTCATTAATCCTTCTTCTATCAGAGGTTTGTGGTTTTGTCATTGGCGTGTCTGGCTTATGGAAAGGAGGCATCACTGCTTCCAAAAGGAAGTGACAGAGTGGAAAGAAACAAAAGCGTGGCTCATCGAAGTCTCACATGGTTGGTAGGGGAATTACAAGGCAGCTATTTCTCCTTTTAAGAATGGTTCAATATTCATGGCTGTTTAAGCAGTTCTTTTTCCATTCAGCTTTTGACAAAAATAGCTGTAAAGGAGCATGTGAACCTCGGAGCATGTAGTCTATTTTTTGATACATCTTGGCTTACATTTGTCAGCTTTAGATTCTCTAGCACGGCACACTTAGTCTGTGCAAAATGTAGACTACGAGAGATTGGTTTCTTGGCCCAAAAAAATCCTCTGAGTTCATTCCTGAAAGGTGATGATTGCTACAGTGATACGACGTCACCCGCTCAAGTGGTTTGAATCAATAGCTCTTCACTGCTGATTGTATTCTGTCTGGTTTACTATTAAGTTCATTCACTCAATTCTTCTGTTTGGGAGCTTATGCTAAGATTTTGTATGTACCTTATGCTTTTTCCCATCAATCAGGCATGCAGGCTCCAAAGTAGGGAAGCTGGTTAGCTCGTTCGGGTGGGTCCAGTGAGCTTTTAAATCTCCTGCGAGGCTTATTCTCTTGCCAACTTTTTCAATGAAAAACACTAACCTAGTTTCAATACACTATCTTTGCATTGCTCCTGAAAGCATTCTTCCACAATCTTCAGGCTGTGAATAATTCTCTAGTATGCAGATTATTGTCCTTATCTGGGAACATCAAAGTACTGCAGTCAGTGTGCTGATGCTGTGCCTTCTGTCCAGTACCTACACTGTAAGGTTCCTTTCAGCAGCACATCAAGCGATATCTGGGAATCTGATAAATATAATATAGTATTTGAAGTGATTCCAGCTTCTGTGCCTAGCAGTAATTTGGTCTTTTGTCTATGCCAACAAAAGGCAAAGGAAATCTTCCTTTTTTTGGTCGAGCATTCAGTAAAGTATTCACATAGAAGGATTTGGCATTTCTCCTTTGAGTGTGCTGCTGCTTTTCACTCACAAGTACTCTTGATGCATACGTTTGAATATTACAGTGAGGAAGAATCTGGATCTTGGGTGCTAGGAAGACAAAATGCAGTTTCCAGTGTCATACGGTTACACCTGGCTCGGCACAGTGTGGCACTGCATGGCGGGTGAGTTACCGTGGCAGTGTAAATGCAGTTCCATGTGCCTCACACTTGCCATGGAAGGAGCATCTTGCAATCAAAGGATTGTGCTGGAAGAATTTTTGTGTCGGTTATTTAACTTTTTGTGATGTCTTCCTTAGGGCGCTGACTTCAACGTTCATGTCTTTTAAGTGGCTTCGGAGCCTCTCAAGTGTGATTATCAAATTGTGGTTTTTAACTGAGCTATCACTGGAACCAGTGACACAAAAGCAAAACAATTTCAATTTAATAACAAGACTCTTGTATATGCTGTTCTCTTATTGTTTCATGGGTCATTGTTGGTTACCTTTTTAGATACAATTCCTTGTGCTTCTTCTATACCTTAAAGCATGATTGCAAATGATAGCTGTTCAGAGGTGCACAGCTGGTGGAGTTACGTGTAGAAATTCACTGCTTCCGTTTCTTTGGCTCCTAATCCTTAAAGAGGATGTATGGATAGATGCAAAATCTCTGCTTATGTTTGATACTCTGCTTTTTTTAGAATATGTGTTGATCCTCCAGCATAGCCACCAGTTTATAAAACCACAGGTTAGTGGTTCTCAAGCCACTGAACCTTCTTGCAGAACTCACCCCAGGGAAATGACGTATTTGTAAATCTTGCTTTATATGGTTCCGCAGACCAGCTGCTAACTGCTTTGTGTCACCGACTTACAGTTTGGGAACCTCCTCCCTGAGGCTCTAGGTATGAGACCTGGTTTCATTGCTGGGGAAAAGAGATGAAGAGGTGGTTTTTTTTGGTTCACTGTGGCTAGGGTTTGCTAACTGCTCAGGAAGACACCAACGTCAGTTTTTTCTTTGCTCACCACTGAGCTGTTCACTTTACAGTGGTTACTTTTACTCATGATCCTTTCATGTTACTGTGTTAACATGTGGATTCACAGACTGAAAAACAATAGAGATCGTTTCAAAAAAGTCCCTGTGACAACTACAATTTGCACAGTATCTTTGACTTGTGGCTGCAGCTACTTTTGTTTGTTTGTTTTCCTGAAAAAATAATAGTGTTTATCAACTAGAAAATAACAAGAAGCTGTGCTTGTTTAACTGGTACGGCTTGAACAGCAGTGCATGCAAGGAGCAGGTCTCACTGCCCTACGTGCAATGTGCCATTCCTGGTTTGCGTTCTGATTCCTCATTCATACCCTGGTTGTGCTGTCTCCTGACAGACTCTGGTGCTGTTGGTTTGCTACCTCCTTAAGCTTAGTCTTGCTGACTTGAATTAGAAGACAAAGCCCAATCAAACCTTCCCTTCTCCAATTAGCATAGTAAAATCTAGCAAGAGGAATACTTTTTTTTTACCGTGGAATGCTGTGCTTTGGTGCTTGTGCTGAGCACTCAGCTAAATCTTCAGTAAGGTAAAGTAAAATACATTGCACAAGGGGAAATAAATCTTATTTTATAATGTGAGGTTTCAGACCAGTCCTGCTTTCTCTGGCTGAGGAGAGGCTGCTGCACCAAGAGAATCATTTCCCTTTGTCATGCACTGACTCCTCTTGAACTCCTCTGTCGCTGTGGTTCTGCAGACTGCTGCAGAATGGCTCTTCTTGAATCATATTTGCATATCATTTCCTTTCATCATAGCCTGCTTGCTGGAAGATCAGCTCTCCTGTGTCTTGTATTGGTCGTTTGCTTTTACTCTCAAAGGAAGACGGTTTAGATTTGTTCCATGGCTGCTCTGACCTTGTGTTGATAGTTTTTGTACTGGGGCTGCACAATATCTCCCTCTTTCTGGCCATGTCCCAAACCGTTTGTATTTACAGTAGTTATCTAGCATTTTGCTGTAAGAGCAGCTTTCCCCTACCTGCTTTTGAGACCAATGTTAGCCAACAATTTTCCTACCTTATCTTTGGAAAGTCCAGGCTGTGTTTGGTTTGTAGTTGACCTGTGTACGAACCTCACCTCAGACAGATCACCAATCTGGTTTTCACATGTGCTTGACGATAGAGGTAGGGTTTTTTGCCTCCTGTTGACCTAAAAGAATTCAATAGCACAAACCTGGAGTTAATCTGCTTCAACTCCTTCATTAAGTATTCATTCTGTATTTTTATTTAACATTAGGGAATAGAAGCCTGACTCCATTCACAGGGATCCTGCCCGAGTGTCTGTGCTCACCCTGTTGGATATAAAGTACATGCTGTAAAGATAACGGGGTGTCTGTGCATACAGTTATGTCACTGCTGGGGGAGGGACATATCGGAATATGTGTTTGGTGTGTGTAGTGCTTAGACCAGTCACACAGGAGATACAGTTGGTTTGTTTACAATAGAAAGTTACAATTTTGATATGTCTGTTTGATCTCCTATTACAGCACTATAAAAGAACTTGATCTGCATATACTCATTCTGGTAATAAAAATATCATAAAATCTTACTATGAGTCACTTAATATGTATATAGCTTTGTCTATACTCAGCTTTTAAAAACACAGCTTCTTAAAAAAAGGACAAATAAGTCATATGATCATCAATAAAACATCTAAATACCTATCAGAGTTTATAAAGCATAGTCCATGGATTAAATTTTATGGCAGGCTTGATTTGAGATTCTGGATTAACTCTCAAAATACTCAGAAAATTCCCTGCAGTAGGAGCCCAACTCTAGATTCTCACCGTTCTAGCTGAAAGATCCTTACTCTTCCCTGTGAAGCTGAAAGAATATCTTCTAGCTCTGTCTTTGGAACAAAAATCTCTTCTGAAGGAATCCTTGTTCCTCTGTATTCTGGAAGTCTGTTAAAGTGGTAGGCAGGACGGCCTTAATCCAGAAGTGAACCAAGGCCACCTATATGCCATTGCAGTTGAGAAAGGAAACTGGTATAAAAGTGGGCTCAACTGCCTCTCTTATTTGTGTGGTCAATGCATTGCTGCTCTGTTTTAGAAACTAGGATGCCTATTTGGGTCTTTTGGTGGAGGTTTTCTTGTCCCTTCAGAGGGCTTTTCTCAGTTCTTGTCTTACTGTGGTATTGCCACCGAACAGAGCACTGGCAGTTGTTTATGTAGAACGTTGGGTAATTCTGGCTAACACACCACTCAGCAGGATTTCAGGTGAGGTTCAGGCTCTCATGTAGATGTCAGAAACAAGCTTGGTTGTATTAGGTAACAAAGCCCCAATATAATCTTTCCTGTATTAGGGCACACAGTGTTGTGGAATGTGGGGGACAGGGACTAGGGAGCAGAGGTTCTCTCAAAGGTGCCAACGTGATACTGTGGTGTGAAGGTTCCTGTTCTCCTGAGAACTCCTGCCCATGCTGAAGGCAAGGCACTAGAGGTGGTGTACTCCAAGATGTGACCCAGGACAGCTGTTTCTTTGTTGCTGTGTTACTGCCAGCCTGCACTGCAAACTGAATTGTATTAGGCAGATGTAAACAGCCTTTTACCACTTCTTCATAGCTAAGTGACCTTCCTGTTCAGACCCCTGAATTAGGACTTCTTGCCTAATAGGCTAACTCACATCCTTTTCAAAAACTGATTGATAAGTGGTATGAGTTAGCTCTTTTCCAATAAAATCAAAGCATGGCAGATGGTATGGAGGCAGTTTTTACTTTAAATCCATCATTACCCCTCATGTCTACAGTCATTCATAATAGGAAATTAATATCTCCTGGGAGGAGTAGTGTAGAAATTTGAGGAGAAGGGGGAAGTATCTGATTATAGTTTTGATATGGGAGCTCTATCATGTACTATTGGGGTATTTTTGTTGTATCATAGATTACTTGAGAGAATAAGTTATTTTTCCAATCTGTAACATACTGCAAAAGGGCCCTTGTGGTATCTTTTCTGAATAGCTATTTTTTGAAAAATTCACGTGAAAAAATAGTGAAGTGAAAAAAATAGTGTAGTGTTTATCTCCAGGATTCGTCCTCATGCGAGATGTTTTTTTCATGCAGATTCGAAGTGATACATCAGAGATCCTCGACGAGACCATTCCGCTCATTAAAGACAAGGTGATGGAAATGAGCCACATCTATGCCAAAGTTGATAAATTAGAGGTTTGTTCATTGCATTAGAAAACTTATTTTCTTCTTTCTCTGTGTTTTATAGGTTAACTGTCCAGGTATTTATATGGGGTGCTCAGATGTTTATGGCTCCCTATTGTTTTATGTTTGTTTTTAAATCAATATGTTTACCATGGTTCAGTACATATAAGTGTTTATGGTTTTGGAACAGTCACTGAGTAATTTATTGCTGTGGATTCTACAATTCCTAACGGTAGATTAAAAGCATTAGTTGTGGTTTTGGTGTTAATAATAATGCTTATAATGTTAATTTGTTTTGTGACTTGAAGAAGTATCTGTGAAACCATTTTTAATTTCAAAAATTCAAGTCTCGCGACCAGTGCTGGACATAACCATTTTAAGCTGTTGCTGATCATCTTATGTAGTATTGGAGAGATCTCAGAGTTCCCATCTTCTGTGGTGTCTGCTTTGGTGTTTACTGTATCCTGAACGAGGGAAGTCAGTCTGACTCACTAAGATGATGCCCTCAACATATTTAGTAAACAATATGTTAAAATTTGTGTCAACTGAGGGCAAGTTTGCCTCTGGGAGGAATATAATGAAAACATGATGAGATAAATAGTGTTTAAAATCAGTTTTAACTGACTCAAAGTGAAAGAAACCAAGAGTTTGAAGCATTAAATCCAGATAGGCAGTTCTTAAGCTTCAGGCTCTACCCCTGCACAAAGTAGCATCCCCTGGTAAGGTTTATTATGCTGGGAGAGGCAGGGCGATTGACTTAACTTTCAGCAAGGTTTGTTTAAATGCAATTCATTTTTTGTAGCTCACGTTTTTACACCCCTGTTTGCTAACAGACATCAAACCCTTTCATGGTTTTGTGACTTATATAGCACCAGGAGAAAGCTTCAGACAAGGAAATTAGTCATTTTAGATCAAAAGTGGGAGTCAGCTGTTAACCTGGTTTAGAAACTGTTTTAGAAACATGTCTGATTTTCAGAACTGAATGCCCTAGTCCAAGAAATCTCTAGCGGGTTCTCAGTATACATGATAATTATGTATACTTAAGACAGGAATATGAAAAATGGCTAACAGGTTCCAAACCAACTGTTTCTGGAAGTGTCACACCCATTTACCCCTTTTTTGCAAATTCCATGCTTATAAGTGGTTGGGATTTTGGGGGGAGTCGGGTGTTGTGTTTCTGGCTTTGAACAGGAAAATGAAATCACAGTTCTAGGCAATTACTTGTGCCATAAGTACGGTAAGCAACAGGGTTCCCTATTGCTCCCCACCAGTACAAGGAAACGAAAAACCCACAACCCTTCTGACCCCATTCCCTTCGTATAGCTGTAGGGGCATAGTAATGTGGAATATGAAGAAAACACCAGTCTTTGCTAGGCTACAGCTTGCCCTCGAATAATGCAGCAGAATCTTGTTGAGGGGCTTTTTTTGGTTATCAAGGGAGGATAATACTTTGACTGGCTAGGCATGTTTTTCTCCTTAACATGACCAGCTGTAATGGCAGCAACCTGGGACCATAGGATTAAATTGGCAATTTGAGCAATAGTTAATGTTTTAATTAGAACTTTTAAATTTAAAGCTTAGCAGCCATGGGGATTTTCAAGGGAAAAAATAATGTGTACTCCCAAGAGTAGAAAAGAAAAGGACTGTCATGTAAAAGGACTGTCGTGTAATGGTTATATAGGATGAGAATCTGCTGAGTTTTAATTTTGATGTTGCCATTGGTACATTTTGGAAATTAATTTACCTATTCAGCCTCCCCTTCCCCATCCCTAAAATAAGCAGTGCTTAACTTCTCAAAAATACCCCAACAGTGAAGCTTAATCATTAATAAAGAGTATCAAAACTCTTTACAAATTGTTTGGTATTTTAACAAATAAATGCTGTTCTTTCTATTGGCTTTATCTTATGGCTCAAGTTCCAAATAAAACTGAACCACATGTATGTTTTAGGTCAATACTTCCTGACCTTTTTTTGCTAAAATCACCTGTCATTACCCTTTCCTCTGCTGTCTCCTCGCTCCTACCACCTTGGCCACTTTCTCACTCCCACCAGTCGTAGCAATGTCTTTGTGGGTTCTGCAGAGCTTTTCACCTCCGGGCTGAAATGTTGTCAGACCTTTAGCCACCACGTAAATGCTTACGTACCCTGTGTGCTGACAAGGGAACAAAAGGCTGCCCTTAGGTAAGAAGAAAAAGTAGCCTTAGGTCACGACTGGCAGTTCTTCAGGTGCCCCTTGGATGTTTATGTTAGCAATAGTGCGCTCTGAAATCTTGTTAAAGCTCTCTCTTTGACTTCTGATCTCTAGGCAGATAATGCTGAAACCCAGCTCAGGTGCTTTGAACTTTCATTAGGCGTTTTTCCTCTCTCCATAGGCATTTGTTAAAATGGTTGCGCACCATGTTTCCTTCCTAGAAGAGCAAGTGCTTGAAGCAGAGAAGAGCCATGGCACCTTTCTTAATACTGTTTGCAAATTATTTCAATGTGCAACTATCTCGTCATTTAAAAACGTGAGTATTTTTCAAGTTGCTTCCAGCAGATAGGAAAATGATGTTAAATACCCTTTGTGTATCAGATGTGGCCTTACGGCATATTTAATTATTCATTTAAGGGGTATAAAAGAACTAGCTACAGTTTGCTTCTGTAAAGGGAATTTCTCTACATTTCAAAAAAATTTTCAATAATTTTCTTTTTGAAGATATGGTACTTTACTGCTGGAAATATTTGATGGCAATTTTTGAAGATCCCTACATTTTGTTCCTGAATGAAAGGATTTTCTCTGTGTATATATGTGTGTGTGTGTATGTGTGTATATATATATATATGCGCGAATGAGAAGCTTTTTATACATCACCTTGCAGTGAGACACATAAGCATAGATTATTCTTTGCATCTAGTCTTTGGTTTTATGTCAATTATGTTGAAATTATGTTATAGGGTCATCCATGGATAAGCACTAGAGGGGGGTGAGAACTCTTTCTGTGAGTTTTAGCTATATTTGCTGATAGAAGAAGAATAGAGAGAGTCAGGGGTAATGAGATGTGGTGTGGACTCTATCATGTAGTCTTCATCCTTCTTGTCCCTATTTTTTCCCCAGAATGTTTTCATATCACTTACCTTTACACTCTGTTTTTCTTCCCTAAGCTCCCAGGTCATTCTCTAAATCCGTCATTTCCCCAGCAATTATTCACAATCTGCAGTTAGTCTTTTCTGAACTCATCCCTTCTGTTCCTCCCTCTCCATCTTGATGTGTTTTCTACCAAGTCTACAGTCTTAGCAGATCCCTATCAGGATCCTTGTTCTAGTCTCAGCTACCTCCCTGCTTGCTTTGATTGCTCCCCTCCTCATTTTCTTCCAAGGGGCCGCCGTGCCAGTCCGCGTAATACTGGGTAGGCAGTAACACACAGGTCTCAGTGATCTTGTTGGGACAGCTGAACCACTTAACATTTTTATTTGGTGTCATAGCAAGCTCTGGAAGCTTCAGTTGCAGGAAAAGTCCAGTTCAGTTTCTGCAGATCCAGGACAAACCTTAACTGCTTAAAGAGAATAATGAATATTCAGTCTGGGTAACAGAGGCGTGGACAGGAGATGGTGCATACTGATATCATCTTCAGCTGCCAAGCTCTAGGGAATCTTCCGAAGACCACAGTTTGTATAGACTCGGTAAAGAGTGGCAACTTGGCCAGATTTGGTAATATTTTCATAGGAATAGGAAAATACGCCCCTGATATGAGGGTAGTTTACTGCCAATTTAAAATCTCTGCTATAGCTTATGAAGGCATTGAAGCTTTTCAGAAGAGCTAAACATCACATATCCTTTATTTCATATTCTGAATTGGCTGGGTTTTGTTCCCTGAAACTCTCCAAACATGTTAAACCTGCAGCAGATACCCAGCCTGGAAAATCTATCAAAGCTGAAAGTTCTGCAAGGTTGCTCTGCCTATACACACAGTCTGCTGTAACTGGGATGCCAGTCAGAATGTGGAGAAGGCCAGACTGTTTACACAGAAGTGGCTTCACGTGGGCTTGCAGACAGCATAGCGTCTTCATTTTTTTTCTTTATTATTACAAAGAAAAAAATGGAAATATGTTGTAATTGTGTATTCATGCTTGCAGACATCTTGGAATGATAATATTAGTGAACAAAAGAGAAAAATAAATAGGGAATGGTGTAGCTTCCTACTGCACTGATCTTATCCCTCACTCCCATCCTTTCCCCCAAAACAGTAGGACTAGAAAGTGTGGGGAGAGAGGTAACAAGGATGAGAACAGATAAGGAAAAGTTCTCTCACGGACATTTCTAAACAGCTGAAGACTCAGCTGGAAGGACAGGTCAGAGATTTGTGGTGTCATTCTGTACGTGGAGCAGGTGAACAGAGAATCGTTATTCGCTCCCTCCCATAACGCAAGAACTAGGGACATCCAGTGAAATTATATCAGCAGGTGGGTTCACCGTACAAAAAGGGAGGTATGTACTTTACATGCCACATGTGACTGTTGCCTGAAACCTAGTAAGATCCCTGCCAACTGTCCAAGTTTCTGTACTCTCTCCAAGCCTTTTTGTTTCTAGTTGTCTATCCCTTTTCCCCTGTTACGTAGGATGCCCCTTCGGCATCTTTTACCATTTGAAAATTAGGACTTTATTGACCTTTTTTGTAGGTGGGTTTAACTTGTTCTGCAGTGACAGTATCCACCTTGTGTGTCTTCTCTCCGTAGCCTTGACCATAGGAAAGTTTGACAAAAAAATTTGAGGTGCCCCTTTCTCTGAGTAGAGTGTGTGTGTGTATGTATTTCAGCTTTTTCCTCTTCTAATTAAACATGGATGATATTTTAAATGCATGGGAAATCTCATCCTCAGTGTTTTGCAATTGTTTAAAGGTGCAGCAAAATCCTGTAATGTGTTGGTTTTTTTTTTTCCTCTTTTGCTATTTTTCTGGGCATTCAGAAGGTTGTTTAATATAGACTTCCAGTGAACAGTAACACTGGGAAAGGCATCTAAATTCACTCTTTGTGTTAGGAATATCCAGGGGTGGTCTGAAAAGAAACGACCTTATACTAAGTATAAATTGTGAGTATGACTGGGAAAGCCTGACAGGTTATAAGAATATGCCACTTCCTGAGGGAACAGAACAGAGGAAGTAAGTTCCTCATGTGAGGTTTGTGGCTCTGTGGAAGAAAAGCTTTTCTTCTGAAAGGCTTGAACTTTGTGTTGGGAAAAACCATGATTTCAGATCTTTTATCCAAAGATGTTATCTGTGCCCTGGCTGAATGGGGGTCAGCAGTCCCAGAGAAAGGACAGGAAATCTACCTGAGAAAACTTCAGCATGGGGAGTTTAAAAAACCCACTAGTATCTTTTCCAATGGAAGAAAACTGAATGTCAGCAACTCTTGCTGTTTTGTCATGCATTTGTGATATCTGGCATTTTCTTAAAGCCAGAAATTTTTCTTCAGTATCACTGAATAAGGGAAAAAAAAAAAAAAAAGAACATATATTTTTGGAATATTTTTTAAGCCTTGTATAGTTTCAGGGAAAGGCTTGTAAAACCCTAACCTCAAAAAAAATCTCATGCCAATGGTATTAAGAAAAAGTGCACATTTGTTAGATATTTTTTGAGGTTTTATTGTCTCTTTCTCTGAACTAATATTGTAAACTCTAGAACAGCAGTTGCTTATCTGAGGTGAGGTTTGCTGTCTTGTCCTGGCTAAGGTGCTGGGGTTTTTTTCCAGACACCTGGGGTAGATTTTGATAAATTGAACTGGGAAATCGATAATGGGATGTGAAACATTCTGTGTGTTACTTTATTAGTTCATCTGAGCTCAGTAGTGAGCAAAAGTTATTGATGAGTGCTACTGACCAAAGTATCTGGGAAAGAGACCCGAGCGTAACGGTTCTTTTCAGTGGTTACCAGCGTGAGGTGTGGAGGAGGAGATGGACTTTGCAGTCCCCATAGGCTGATAGTTGTTCTCTGAGACAGGGAAGCTCAGAAGGACTAGCTAACTGTGTAGAGTTAAGGATTTGTGTAATACAGAAGACAGCTAGCTGGGTTTGAATGTTCATAAGTAAATCTTAACAAGAAATCTTTCCTATATTGAGATTTTCATTTTTTTAACTTTTGCAAATCATTCTTCAAATGTAACTTGATACAGCAAACAGTGAAGCTGAAACCTACATCTTACCAATTGCTTTTCTTGAAGACTCCAAACTACCACATATTGGGATTTCTGTTACTGCCTTCACCACTGACAATGTGTGATCACATATATGTCATGCTACTTCTTTGTATCCTCATTTACCTCGCTAGATAATGATTAGTGTTTCCAGAATGCTATGAGATTTTTCTGACAGCCTTGAAGAAAAATATTTGTTAAATTATTACTAAAACATACCAGATGGGAAAGATGAGAAGAGAGAAAATAGAGCAGAGTATTTCAAAACGGGGGTGTACTGTGTTCATATTTAAAACTCATTGATTTTCAAGTGCTGAATACTACCAGCCTTTTTTCTTTTTTATATTGGGGAAAACAAAAAAGTCTGACACGTACTTAAATATTTATATTAACAGCTTTGGGGGTGTGTTCTGCTTATTTTACCTGTAGCTGTGCTTGAAGTTTGTATGGTTCCACTCTGATTTGGACTAACTCATTAACTGGTTTGGGAGCCCCAGAGGTGTCACACTGGTTCTGTGTTGAGAAACGTAACAAAAATGGGAAGATTCAAGTGAAGGGGTGCAGTAAGTCCGGAATTCACGATTTCGGTCACCCATGGCTTTAGCCCTCATTCACCTGCTTTGAGGGAGCCTGTGGAGTTCTTGAAGTGGAGCCAGTTTCTGGGCAGTTTGCTGAGCCTGGCGTACAGCCGAAGAGCTTGAGAGCGGCTGCAACACTGGGCTTGGACATCAAGTAGTGCCACTGGTTTGGAGGAGCAGATGGGGGTGCGTGGGGCTTCAGCACTGCACACAGGAGTAGAAATACACATGCACACACCTCTGCGTTGAGAGCAAGAGGATGGCTGGGGGAGAAGTGGTACTTTGGGCTGGTGGGATGCAGCCGGCACACCTACAACACTGCAGACAATAACAGTATGCAGTTTTTGAGTGTGCATGAACAGAAGTCAAACTATAAAATACTGGCTGTTCCCACTTGAACTAGTTTTGTTTGAATGCATTTAGAGCAGGTGTAAAAAAGTCTTTACACTAGAAATATCATTGTTAGACTGTCCAAAGCAGAGCAGCACAGCGGCACATAAATAAGGATTTGTGCAGCGTGTGTTTGGAGTTATGTACGTCGTGATGGGGAGAAACCGTAGTATAATTGCTGCTCTACAGAGAGCACTTGGTGCAAAGGGTCTCTTGTACTAAACAGGTGCCACTTAGGGCTTTCAGTCAGCTTTCAGTTGAGCTATCGTGCTGAAATGGCAGCAGAACAAAAAAATACATCTCTAGTTTATGTGCAACAAAGAAGTTAAAATAACAATCCAGATTCTTTTTTTTTTAATCAGTGCTGAGATTGGCTTCTGGCTTCCTGTTCTCTAATGGGAAAAGATTGGGCCTTTTATGTTTTGAAAGAGATTGAGCCAATTCCTGTTGCAAAATTCCAGGACTGAGATCGAATGAATAAAAACAGTTAGGAAAAACTTGATTTGTCAGAAAGCCACCTTCATTAGTGCTCTCATCTCTTTTCCATCATAAAAATTGTTGTTCGGCTCTAATTGCATCTCACTGACAAAAGCTTCTGGCTACAGATGTAAAGATTTGTAAAATGCTGCCTTTCTGTAAGCTGGTATAATCTGTGCCAGAAAATAGAAACCCAGCCTCTGCTTGGGAAGAGCTCCTCCTCCAGAGCTCAGTTTCAGTGACTCCATTGGTTGGTATTGTTGAGCTTTAAATATATTCTGCAGTACATGGTTTACTGGGCTGGGATGCTTGCTCTTGAAAGGCAGGAAACATACAGTTTTGCATAACATTGCCCTCTGCAGAGTTGAAGTGAATTAGTTACAGAAAAGATATTAGCTGGCACCAGTGAAGTAAGTGGTAAATGGCTCTTCACCCTCCCCTTTTCCTAGGTTCCTTTTGGCTGCTCCTGTAAGGAATGCAGCAAGCAGTTGCTACCGCTCGCGCTAGTGATTAAAGCATTTGCATGTTGCACGGTGCATCTCTGCACTGGCCTGTCTTCTGGGGCAATACAGGGTGTCTTCGGCTGGATCAGATTTTCCGTTCGCACTTGTGTTTCTGTCTTCCCTCCGAGGCTCTGTGCCGTTACAGACGTTGTTAAACAGGATTGTGTGCACTCATCCTTACAAAACCATGCATGTGAAATACTTACGGTTCACAATCCCAGTGGTTCAGGGTTCCTGTTCTTAAGCCTGTGCTACCGTTGATTTTTAAGAAAGCAAAAGCAGTAACATAATAAAAGCTAAAACTTGGGTGCTGTGTTTGTAGCATGAATGCCCTAGGGCCAGCAGAGCAGCACATTGTGGAAGGTGCTGTTGGGTCCCTTTCTTAACAGAATTACTTGTCTATATTTTTCTGACAACATCCCAGTTTCTTTGTTTCAGGTATGCCATTCATACATCTGGCACTAAGAGAAATAAACCAAATTTTCCAAAATATTAGGATTCTCTTAATAAAAAATAATGACTGTTTTCCTTGTTTCGGGGGTTTTTTTGGTTATACTTTTTTTCTCAGTTTGTGCTCTACCAGCTACATGTTAAATTCTAGCTGAGATGCAGAAACATTCTGCAGATGACATGATGTTAGGGTTAAACATTTCAAATGGATTGTAATATAGCGAGAAATCCTGTTCTTGCCAGCCATAGTTGTGGTGGGCTTGTTGGGAACTTTGTTTTGCCATGTTTCTGTGGATTATTGTCTCCACAGCATGGTATGCTCCTCCAATTATTTTTGTAACCATGTAATATATACTTCTGTAATGGTGTCTCATCAGAGGAATGTCTGTACAAATTGTGGTCTCAGTGTGACAAAAGCAAAAATTTCTGTGTTTATTTTGTTTCTATTTTTAATTCTGCACCAAAAAGAAGAGTTGACCTTTAATTTTTTTTTTTTTTCTGTTTACAAACATTTTACTTAAAAAGAAATTTCATAACTTGTACTGGGGGCTAGATGGCTTAACTGAGGTCGGGGTGCTAAAGTTTGAAGCACACGATTGACCAGAATTCCAGGTTCAAGCCGCTTTCTGGGTAAACACATCAGATAAATGAGCAAAAGGAAACACATCCACCTTCTTGCTGATGGGAATTGGAGGCATACAGAAATAAAATTGTTTTATTGTGGTCCTATCGTAAATCTGCAGCATGGCCTGGCACTACACTGAAGTGTCCACAGAACCCTGAGTAGAAGCAGCAATAAACTTGTTTGCTGAACTGTCATACCAATTCAGCTTTCCACCTGAAGTTCTTTCTTCAAGGATTAAAAAAGAACAGGTGAACAAAGAATCCATTTTGTAACAGGATAAACTGGTACAAGACCAAAGAAGATACTATGAGGTGGTAAAAGGTTTAACTAGGAAAATCCTTACTCCATATATTCCTCACAGAGTAATTTCTATGTTAGAATTTGGATGGCATGAAGGAATGTTGGAAAGGAATTTTATTCTGATTTGGCTTTTATAATATGGAACATGTTGTAGCTTGTGCATTTTCACAGTATCCTAAAGTGATACTCAAACAGGAGCAACTCTCATATAAATCACTCTTTCTGGAAATCAGGTTGACTTTTTCTGGAAGTACGTTTATAGATTAAGATGAATGAAACAAAAAGGCTGGGAAATGAAGATCTTGATCCTGTATAAATACTTTCAAATAAAGTTAACCCTGAGCTTGTGTCTATCAACTCAGATGCCAAGTGATCAGTGAAACAGTGTTGTTTGAGAAATTGGTGTGAATCTTGGCTTTCACTACAGTACTTGTGATAATTTGTGTATGAGGTGAGAGGTGAAGTTTCAGAAACATGTATTCTTCTCTCCCTTTGAACTAGTCACCACAGTGCTGCTAAAGGCCATGTTGCTGTTAATAAATTGTCTGTTCTCCTCCAAAATGCCCTGGGTAAGCAAGGTCAGCTAGAAGGTGTTGTAATTTTTGCACAGGCATAGTCTGAGAAGTGTGGATTCTACTTCCTTGCTCTGAGTTAAGCTGGGCTCTTACTCTAGCCCTGGGAGTCTTACTCTAGCCCTGGGAGTCTTACTCTAGCCCTGTGGTACCGTCTGCTTATGGAGTTTATTACTGCTTTCCTGTCTGCCCTCCACCAGCTTCACACAGATGTCCCATTAACTCTTCCCTTCCCCTACTCTTTCCTTCATCTCCGTGTTCCTATTTGGGTCACCCACCACCTTTTAGAAGTGTTTTATCAACTCATTTTCAGTGTGTCTGCCTTTTCTGCCTGAGACACACATAGAAGTCTCCTGGGGGCTTCTACTGGCCTTGTCTGACTCATTTTCCTGATGACTGGCCTCGTCTTGGCCATTGGTTGTACTTCCTCCACTTGGATTTCATTTGGGAACTTCTTTTAAAGACTCACACGTCATCTAGGAGCACACCTAATTGTTAAACGCGTTTGGAATAAATACCTGTATTTCAGGGCAATAATGAGAAACAGGAATGACTAAAAGTCAAATAGGTGAAGTGGGTGCCAAGGTCTTGTGATGAAGATAACAGTGGCTGGATCTTTGTTGGTATGTTGAAGTAAAGTGAAACCAAAGTTTCATTTTCTTTCATATACTGGGCTGTTAACCTGCGTAGTTTAGCTGTCGCTTTTCCAGTGCGGAGGGATGCTGGAGAAGAGGCAGAGAAGCCAAGTGGGGTTGAAAATCACTGCAGCTGTCTTAATGCAAGCTGTTCCCTCTTTGAGCTTTCAGTTTAATGCATGCAGTCTGCCACATTAATTCTGGAAGTAGCTCCTAAATGGGTAGCTGTAAAAGGGGTAATCTTGGTCCCATGTACTTCTGACAATAGGAACTTGAATGTTGTAACAGGAGAGACATCTTTGTTTCCTACCATCAAAACTGTCCCAAGTAAATAAGCAATTTTATAGTAGTCTTCAAAATTATGCAAGATGTTAATAAAATCTGTGCAACTTTTTTTAGTACAGGGAAAGCTACTCAAAAAATTTAATTAAAATCTTAGGGAAAGGGCAGTTAAGAAGGACTGAGGACGGTAATACTTAAACATACGGGTTTCATTAATGAGTGAGTGGAGTGTTGGAAATGCTAAGTGAATTCAAGGAACACCTGGGCTGCGCTGTGGAGAGGAAAGACCTGGTGAAGGATCTGGCGTGGAAGTAAAAAGGCATGAGTGTTACATATGAATTATCTGGGACCAAGTGAAGTTGTTTTCACTATAAAGAATGCCTTGTGTTCAATATTTGTGGCATGAATATATCCTGCTAGTGTCCTTTTTTCAGTAGTGTGCAACGTAGGCTGACGTTTGTTTACTTTGGTTATGACAACAGTATTTCCCCCCCAGCCCCCTGCTATTTCCAGTCATTGGGAATAGGACCCCAACAGCTAATAAAGTTTTACCAAAATCAAACCATGGTAGGTAATGTTGGGAATACATCCAAAGAAAGACGACATCCAGAGAAATTACACTATGCTGTAGTTGTATGAAGGTAAAGAGGTTGTGGACTAGTAATAGGGAACGGATGCGAGAGATCTTGAGCCAGCAGTCACAATTTCAAGTTTCATGCACTGACTTTATTACTGGGGCAAATATTGGAGCCAGTGTTCATGCACAGTAGTAGCATCCAAAGTAGTCCACGGGATGCTTTCTTTCTAAGCATCCATTTAAAACATGACAACTGTTAAAAGGCAGATATGTGGATCTGGTGATTTATATTTTTTTCCCTGGCAATAGCTAAGCAGAACTTCATGGCACATAGCTTCAGAAATATT